TCCAGACTCCGCTTGTCTCTTTATCCCTTTCCTGTGTCTACTCACCAGCTGTCAGCCTGTCTTTCTCCTTTGTCCCATTATTCTGTCCTTGTCCTGCGGCCACTATACTTGAGTCAGTGAAGATACAATTGTGGCATTGCTTTAGCTACTACAAAAAGAAATGACATTTTAAGAGAGTTCCAAAAAGAAGCAAGTGCCTCAGAGGGCATTTGAGCATCATTCTCAAAGTTGCCCTTGACTAGCATGTGCAGACCCTGGGTTCAGTTCCCAGCACCACGAGAAAACCCAAAACCAAGAATCAAAGTGAGATCTCAAAATTGTATCCTTCACTTTGAGGGGAGAGAGGAGACTTTGTTGAAGGTTCAGATTCTGGAGTCACACCCATTCTGAATCAATATTGGGATAGAGTAATGAGGAAACCCAGGTTCTTTGCATGATCATAAGCCACCAGGTTAGCAAAATAATGCTATTGATTATGCTTCTTCTGAATTTCCTAATGCCAAGGTTCCCATCTGTGTGCCCAGAATCTAGAAACAGTGGCAAGGAAACGGGGGTAAAGGCATTGCAGCTCTGAGATAACTCTTCCAAATAAATTGTGTATTTTCTTCCTACTAGACGGCGCCTTTCAGAACAGCTGGCTCACACTCCCACAGCCTTCAAACGAGACCCTGAAGACCCTTCCGCAGTTGCCCTCAAAGAGCCCTGGCAGGAGAAAGTGCGGTGAGGAGGGTAGAGGGTGGAAGGGGGTCTTGGTACTCCTCAGTGCTCCAAGGCATCTGCAGGTGCTCACATCATCCTCTCCAGTGCCTTTCCACCTCTAAACACTCCTTCAGACTTTACTGCAGGCCGAGTCCTTACCCTGCCATCACCCTGTGACTTCTGTCTTCATAGGAGGATCAGAGAAGGCTCCCCGTATGGTCATCTTCCTAATTGGCGGCTCCTGTCAGTCATTGTCAAGTGTGGAGATGACCTTCGGCAGGAGCTGCTGGCTTTCCAGGTGTTGAAGCAACTGCAGGTGAGGAAAGGAAACAAACACACGGGGGAAGGGGCAATGAAAGGAAAGACTCAGTGCAACTCCAGCACTCTTGAGGACCACACAGGCTTTCTCAGGGAGCTCTGCTGAGTACCTGCTTCTACCCAGGCTGAATGGGAAGATTAAATTGAAACTGGCTTGTCTTTCTCCAGAGCGCAGCCACATGATGAACAGCTCTATGGTGGCCTCTGTTGGTTTTTTCTAGAACTACATCTTCCCTCTTCTGACCACTGAATGTGCCACGTTTGTCTTTTTTTGATTGAGAGTGTGATTTCACATAGGGGCTTATGTAGTTCAAGCTAGCCTCGAACCCAGTTACAGCCAAAGGCAGCCTTGCACTCTTAATTCTTTTGCCTTCACCTCCCAAGTGCTAGGACTATGTGTGTGCACCATCAGGCTTTGGGTTTGTCTTTAAAATCAGAACTTCCCTATCTGGGATGGATGGGTTTACTGTGTGCTGAGGTATTTGGGTTTTGTCTTTTTTTTTTTAAGATATATTCATTTTTATTTATGTGTATGGATGTTTTCTGTGCATGTATGTGTATAGTGTCCATAGAGGCCAGAGCAGGGTGTCAGATCCCCTGGAACTGGAGTTAGAGTTGTGAGAAGCCAAGTAGATGCTAGGAACTGAACCCAAATCCCATGTAAGTGTAGTGCTCTTAACCCCTGAACCATTTCTCTAGCCCTTGCTTTGTCTTTTTGAGACAGGGTCTCACTCTGTAGTTCACATTTACCTGGAACTCATTAAGTAGTTCAGGCTGGCCTTGAATTCATGACAATCCTTATGTCTTAGCTTGAGTACTTGGATTACAGGTGTAAACTACTGTGCCTGGCTATACTGTGTTGAGATCACCTGGTCTCCTGGGTTGGTTACCTGCAAAAGGATTCACCTGTTCAATCCAATGCTTTATAATACTTGTTTGTAGTTTTTCTTTGGTTGTTTGTTTTTTGTTTTTCTTTTTCCAGACAGGGTTTCTCTGTGTAGTCCTGGCTGTCCTGGAACTCGCTCTGTAGACCAGGCTGGCCTCAAACTCAGAGATCCACCTGCCTTTGCCTCCCGAGTGCTGGGATCAAGGGTGTGTGACAACACTGACTGACTGACTTGTTTGCAGGTTTTTTGAATAGTGGAGGTGACCTGAACTTTCTCCTGGTTTTTGGTTTTGTTTTTAGAAAGGATCTCACTTGTAGCCTCAGCCCAATGTTACTTGCTTTGTACCCTCTGTACACTCAGCAAATGTCAGTATGTCCTTGTGCCATACCCTCCTACCTCAGCTTCCCAAATACTAGGGTTATAGTATGTGACACATGGCTTAAGTGCTTCTTGCATTTTGTTTTGCTTTTGAGACAGGATCTTGTGACCTCTGACTCTCACTTGTAAACAATGTTGATCTCAAACGCCTGAGCCTCCTGCCTCTGCCTTCCACATGCTTGGAACACAGGCTTATGCCATCACATCCAGTAGTATTTTAATTTTTACAATTTATTTTTATTTTTATTTTATGTACATTGGTGTTTTGCCTGTATATGTGTCTGTGTGAGGGTGTCAGAAGCCCTGGAACTGGAGTTACAGACAGGTGTGAGCTATCATGTGGGTGCTGGGAATTGAACCCAGGTCCTCTGGGAGAGCAGCCAGTGCTCTCAACCACTGAGCCATGTCTCCAGCCCCATATTTTCATTTTCTAGAGATGCTTTCTCTGCCCTTAAGTCTCATATTTTTATTATTCAAACTTATATTAATAGCTCCTCCTCTTATTTAGGAGGCGACAGTGAGGTTTCCTGTTCTCTCTGTGTGTAGTCTCCTCCTTTTGCCAGGCCCTGGACTTCCTTTTCAAACTTCCAGGTTCTGTTATTTGTGGTTGTGTACACCTGTAATCTTAGAATGTGTAAAGTGGAGACAGGGATCATGAATCCAAGACTAGCCTGGGCTACATAAGTCCCTATCTCAAACAAAAAACTTCCGGGTTCTTAGTAAGTCAGTGAGTCTTGCGTATTTAATGCCCTTCAATCCAAGATATCAAGGGAGAGAGGTTGGGGAGAAGAAAACATTATTATTTTCTAGTTTGAAGAAAGATGAACCACTCTTGGTACCTTTGTGTCTCTTCACAGTCGATTTGGGAGCAGGAGCGAGTGCCTCTTTGGATTAAGCCATATAAGATTCTTGTGATTTCAGCCGACAGTGGCATGATTGAACCAGTAGTCAATGCTGTGTCCATCCATCAGGTGAAGAAACAGTCACAGCTCTCCTTGCTCGATTACTTCCTACAGGAACATGGCAGTTATACCACTGAGGCATTCCTCAGTGCCCAGCGCAATTTTGTGCAAAGTTGTGCTGGCTACTGCTTGGTCTGCTATCTATTGCAAGTCAAGGACAGGTAAGTGACTTGTGCCCTCATCCTAATTTTTCACAAGGGTCTTCTCTGTCCCTTTACATATAGTCCTCAGTTGATGAAGCAAAGCATATTTTTAGGAAAGATTTGTTTGTGTGACATTAAGCCAAAGAGGCAGACTGACAAGCGCTGGAGGAAATGAGAAAAGAAACAAGAGGACGCAAGGGTGAAGATTTGAGTGGGTAGAGCGGAGGGTAAGGGAGAACGAGGACAGAGAGGGCTGTGGAGACAAGATGAGGAGATGTTCATTGGGATCAAGCCTTGGGTAGCAAGGAGTGACATTGTCTTTCATTATGCGACTAAAGAGTTTGGGGATTTGTTCTTGTTTTTTGAGACAGGGTCTTACTATGTGACCTTGGCTGTCCTGGAACTTGATATGTAAACCAGGCTGGTCTTGAACTCACAGAGATCTTCCTGCCTCTGCTTCCCGCGTGTTGGAATCAAAGGCCTTTGTCACCACAATCAGCAAGAATTTTATTTTGCAGGATAGGAATGATATTTTCTGATCTGTAGATGCCATATGATGCTGTAGGGTTAAGGTCAGGGTCCTTAGTAAGAAAGCAAAAGATACTAGAACCTGGCACAAAGGTAGTGTCAGTGACTGAAAACAGAAAGGAAATGGATGGGGAATACCATGGAGATAATCTTGAAATTCCCAGTCAAAGCTTTCCTTTCTTCTCATTCCAACATTATTTCCCAAACTTTTATACGTATGGGTGTTTTTCCTAAATGTATATCTGTGTATGCCTAGTGGCAGTGGAGACCATAAGAGGGCATTGGCTCTTCTGGAACTGGCTTCCATGTGTGCTAAAAAGTAACTCCTCATCCTCTGAAGGAGTACATGTACTCTTAACAGTGAGTTCTCTCTCCAGTACCCAATTTCCACAATTTTAAGCATCTTTTGTTTTGCCTGGACTGTCACTTCTCTTAATATCACATGATTTTTATAAGGCCTAACTTCACATAGGTGAAGCATTGATAATACCTATGCTCTGCAGTCTTAAGAATATCTTCAAGTGATTTGAGGTTTGTGACCTAAATGCTCCTTTTGGTTGTACCTCTCCCTGAGAAGACAGTGGCTGGGGCCTGGCATGCTGGCTTAGTGGATTAAAGCTATTGCTCAGTCCCCAGAACCAATTCCAGAGTTGTCATCTGAACTACACACACACACACACACACACACACACACACACACACACACACACACACACATATTGGCAGGAGCTATACCATATGCACACATAGTAACACTAAAAAAATAAATTTTAAAAGGAAATGATAGTCTGTTTCCAGGGCTCCCAGTGACATGGCACCCAATTACATTAGTCAGTCAAGCAGCTTCTCAGAAACTAGCATCATCTATTTAGTGACTGTATACCACATATGACCATGGCCTCATTACATCAACTGAGAACCTCATCAAGTGAGTGCTCCCTCATGAGGAAGATAAGGGTCAGAAGTAGCTTTGGGAGACTGTAGTCATTCCACCCTGCTAGCAAAGGCTAGCAAAGGCTCGGGGTGAGAGAGCTGGATTGCAAGTTTTAGACTATCCCTGAGCTTTAGGATTTTGAAGCCCAGGGCTCAGCTACAAGATTGACTAAGTGAGAACAGGGAAGCTTGGTGTGGGAGGTCCTTCTGTCTATGTGTTGCTTTTATTAGTTAATGAATAAAGAATTGCTTTGGACTTACCTACCTAAGTTCTGCCTAAGGTTCTCAGCTGAATGCTGGGAAAAAGAAGGGTGTAGTCGGAGAGATGCCATGGATCCGCGCCAGAGATAGAGAGCAGATGCATTCTTTACATCGGCATAAATAGTATATGAGGCCACGCCCAAGTGAGCAGTAACTAACTGTAGGATTTCCTACAGCTGAAGCTAGCACTAGTTAGACCTCAGGAATTTCATTTTAGAAACTGATATGTAAAAACAATAAAATAGAAAGTAAATAAAACCACCAAGAGAAAACGTTTGGAAGATGAAAGTCTTTCCCTTTGGTGTAGCAGGGAACTGATAACCTTTTTTTTTTTTATTAATGTATGAGTTTTTACTTGCATGTATTTCGGTGCACCACCTGCATAGTGTGCCCAACAGAACCAGATAGCATCAGGTCCCTTGGGAATAGAGTTACAGATGGTTCTTAGCTACTATATGGGTGTTGGGAATTGAACCTGGGTCCTCTGGAAGAGCAGCCAGTGCTTTTCACTGCTGAACCATCTCTCCAGCCCCTGCTGAACTATTCCTAATAACCTAAAAAATAGATGTTGGTGATGTAGCTCAGGTTGAAGAGTGCTTTGCTTAGCATGCACAGTGCTCTGAGTTTGGTCCCCATTAACACATTAACACTGGGGGTAGAGGAAGTAAGTGCAAGATTATCCTAGCATTTTTAAAATTTCTGGAAGCACCTCACAAAATAGTGGTTACAAAGAAGAGAAAGTTATTGGTGTTGATCAACTGTAGGTCTAGGCTTCAACTTGTTATAAAATCACACATACTCACACCCCAGGTGATGTCGCACACTTGTAGTCCCAGCACTTGGGAGGCAGAGGTAAGCGAATATCAGGTCAGCCTGGTTCACAAAGGGAGTTCCAGGACAGCCAGAGCTGGTACACAGAGAAACCCTGCCTTGAAAACCAAACAGGTAACACATACTCAACATAGTCACATAAAGCAAACCAAAATTGGTCATCCTTGCTTTAAGCAAGTCTGAAATAAAGAAGTGTGCCATGTTGGCCAAAACTATTGCCTGTCACTTCAAATTGGGCCTCGCATGCAGAATATGCTAGAGTATGCACTGTTATCAATCAGGTGGTTTTATCATCAGTACAAGCCTGCCAGAACAAGCCCAGGAAGAACAAACCATTCAAATTTTTAAATGGAATTTGCCAGAGTTTATTTTCTACTGCATTTTTATTTTCCATGTATTTTGCTTGCAAGTATGTTTGCACACCATGTTTGTGCCTGGTATCCACGAAGGCCAGAAGAGAGTGACAGATACCCTAAAATTGGAGTTACAGTAAACTGCCATGTGGGTGCTGAGAACCAAACCTTTGTCCTTTGGAAAAGCAGTCAGTGTTCTTTACTGTTCATCTCCCCATCTCCCCAATGCTGCTTTTTAAAAAGGGGGGTGGGGTAGGGAAGGCCGAGGATGTAGCTCAGTTGGTAGAGTTTATCTAGAATGCACAAAGGCCAGGGTTCAGTCTCCAGTGTCTCTTAAGACCAGGTATACGGGCACACACTTGGAAGATAGCAAGCAAAGGAATATCAGAAGCTCCAGGTCATCCCCATGTTCCAGGCCAGCTTGGGGTACATGAGACTGTCTTAGAATAAAAAATAACATCAAAAGCATATGGACTCATTTTTCATGTCACATATTCCATATTCAGTTTGAATATGGAAAGTTTTTCTCGTTCATAGCTAAGGCTACAGAAAGGTAACCAGTTTCTGATACCTGTGCACTGTTGTGGGTTTTCTCTGTGTATCAGGGAAAAGTTAGCTCAGCAACGGTGGACCAAAATAATAATTTTTATATCATTACTTGGACAGATCCAATGTTAAAATTCACTTCTTCCTTTTATTTCTAGAAAATGTTCACTCTGTTATCCTTGCATTAATATCTTAGTAGGTTTGGAGGGAAAGTTGACAAAACTGTCACTTGTGGGGGGAAAATCATGTCCATTGCTCTGGTGCAACCAAGAAACTTACCTCCTTTTATTAAGTGTACTTCAGGGATTTCTAATAGTATGAATTTCCAGTAAGTGGAATTTGTTATGTTCTGAGTTTTAAAGGGTGAAATATGAATACATTTTAAAATGTATCCCCAAAAATGTCACTGTCAAGACAAACAAGAAAACAGTAAATTAGGACAAATAAAAACAAAACAAATCCTTCCTTTAAAAGAGAGTCTTAAGGCAACTTTGCAGGTAGAAGCTGTCTCTGGTAGTTAGCAGAATAAGAGAAACTGGCTTTGGGACTCTGGGCGGGGGTGGGAGTGTCATTTTTTTGCTCTGGCCCTCTAGATTGTGTGGACACTGTTACTTTGTTAGTGCTTCTCCACAACTGGAAGGACTCAGCCTGGCTCAGACAAGGTGGCCCTCAGATGGAGCATGTGTGCTCAACCTAACAAAGCATCCATTGATAGTGAGAAAGCTGGCTGTGCTGAAAAGGCCAGGTCTCACATGTTTAGCATGTTAATTGTTCTTCCCGTGGGACTCACCAAGACCTGGGATTTATCTCCCTTTAACTCTTCTTCCTCTACAGCTGGCCTGTAGTCTACCTCTCCTAAGGTTTGTATGCAAGTGATTTGCCCTACACTGTTGTAGATAGACTTTAACTCTTCTCAAACAGACATGATGGCTCATTTGTATAATCTTAGCACTTGAGAGGCTAAGGAGAAGGACTGCCATGACTTTGAGGCTGACTTGGGCCACATTAAGTTCCAGGCCAGCCTAAGCTACAGTGTAACATCTTTAAAAGAAAGGGGGGGGGGATGTTGGGGAGAGAGTTCAGTCCATGAAGTTATTGCTATAAAATCATGAGGACCTGAGTTCAATCCCCAGAACCCACATTAAAAAGTCAGATGTGGTGGCACAAGCAGAAACCAAATGATGCCCTGGGGCAAGCTGCTCTAGGAACCCAGTATTCAAGAGGCCGAGGTAGATGGATCTCTGAAAAGTTTGAGGCCAATTTAGTGAGTGCTGACCAGCCTGGCAGGGCTACATAGTAAGACCCTGTCTCTCAAAAATAAAATAAAATAAAATAAAATATAATTGTAGATGGCTTCTTAAGAACAATGCCTTAAGGTGAATTCTGGCCTCCACACAAGTGCATGAATGTAGACCCACATGAACATGGACACACATAAATACAAAATAATAAATTGTCTTCAGTCGGCTTGCTTCTAATTGTTCTGTACTGATGGGGCTTTTGTTCTACAGTGGGTTGATTAAAAATTAAAATCCATGCACTCAGGCGGTAGAGGCAGGTGACTCTGAGTTTGAGGCCAATTTGGTCTACATAGTAAGTACCACCAGATCAGCTGGGGCTACACAGTGAGACCCTACCTAAAAAAAATAAATAAATAAATAAACAGGTAAATTGATGCTGAATGAGGGCCTCTCCTCATTTAGACAGCTAGCTATTGGATACTTAGAGGCCTTCCCTTACATCTGTGTTTATTACTAAATCTAGCTCAAAGTTGGGTACTAGAAGTGCAATTTTTGGGAAATTAGCATGTATTACAGTCTGGCCTCAAACTCTTTGTATTTGAGAATGACCATTAATTTAGATCTTATAGCCTCTACCTCCCAAGTGCTAGAATTATAGGCAAGTGCCATTATTTACATCCCGTTTATGCTGTAAGGACACAAAGCTAGAAACCCAGGGCTTCCTACACGATAGGCAAACACTCCACTAACCAAGCTACATCCTCAGCCCTGTGACAATCTTAAAACTATTTTTAAGCTGATAATTGAATTTTATACCCCAGTCTTTGTAGTTTTCAGACTTTTCATTGCTAGTTTTAGGTCCTGAGAAATTGACCTAGACTTGTAAGCAAGAGGAACCAGAAACATGGCTGTCTTGATTATGGTGAGGCCAGTGCTGCAGCTTGAGATCCACTGAAGCCAAACTTACTGTTGCCTCTTCCTCCTCCCCTTCCTCAGGCACAATGGGAACATTCTTCTCGACGCAGAAGGTCACATCATCCACATCGACTTTGGCTTCATCCTCTCCAGCTCACCCCGAAACCTGGGCTTCGAGACATCAGCCTTTAAGCTGACCACTGAGTTTGTGGATGTGAGTCAAAAAAAAGAGAGGTGCCTCCAGGGCTCACTGTGTTCTTCCTGTGAGGATGAGCTGATGGGCTCCCCCAAATCAGGAAGGAACAGAACAGAAATGGCAGTAAGTCAGGATGAGGCAGTATTTCCTGGGAGCTTTTTGTGAAAATAGTGAAATCTACCATGATTGCCTTAAGGAAGTTCTGGGAGGCCCATGGGAAAGGACCCACCAGAATTCCACTGTGCACACACTCATCCTACTTCCAGGTAATGGGCGGCCTGAACGGCGACATGTTCAACTACTACAAGATGCTCATGCTGCAAGGGCTGATTGCTGCTCGGAAGCATATGGACAAGGTGGTGCAGATTGTGGAGATCATGCAGCAAGGTGCGGCTGGGGGAGCCCAGGGCCTGGACTGCCTCAGTTTGAGTTTCCTGGAACCTAGAATTTTAGGAAGTTGATCCCACCTAAAGACACAGGTGGGGGAGGGCTTCTCAGGGGGGTTTCCATTTCCCCTTTAGAATACTCTTCTTCACGCTAGCAGAAGGGTGGGGGGGGGTGCAAGAGGAAAGTAACAGCAGAAAGCTCTTAGGTACCCTCATAGAGAAAACACCCATCTTCGGCCTCCTGGTATTTCTGTCTCCTTCTCTGCTAATTCTGGTGCTTCTACCCACTGTCCTCCCATCACACTTGATGTAACTGCCCTGGCCTCAGCCACCACTCCAAGCTACTTTCCTTTTCTTAATAATCTATCCTGCTCTGAACTGAGTTCTTCCTGACTCTCATCTTTTACCATTCACTCTGCTGCTACCCCAGTCCCTCAGTCATTTGCATAGTATCCCTTATCCCAATTCCTCTGGGCTCCCACTTATACCCTCCCCCGCAAAAAAAAAACCCTTCCAGATATTTACCCCACCTAAGCTGCCAGTCTCCTCCCCATCCTTGCCCATACCCCACAGGTTGCCGCCGTTGCTCAGGAGCATCTCTGTCTGGCCCCGTGGTGACGGTGGCCCAGGTCATCTGTGAGTGTCAGACCTAGCATAGGCAGAGGCCTGCAACCAGATAAGTGCACGGCCCATTCCCAGAGATTTTTCCCAGCCTCCCCTCTGGACCCTAAGACTTCTCTCCAATGCTTATTGGGGGATACTGTGGGCTTGCCTTTCCCTGGGCTGCCCACACAGAGGAACTAAAGCGTATGGGATGAGAATGGACTGAGGGCCTCCCAACTGCTTTTCTCTGCACAAGCAGAATTGTTCTATACCACCAGGAATCCCTGTGGCGGGGAGGGAAGGAGTACTTTATTATACTTGTAGCTCTGTTCCCTTTGTCTACTAACTACTAGCCTGCCTTTCTAATTGTCACTGCTTTCCCCCCAGGTTCGCAGCTTCCTTGCTTCCATGGCTCCAGCACCATTCGCAATCTCAAAGAGAGATTCCACATGAGCATGACTGAGGAGCAGCTCCAGCTGCTGGTAGAGCAGATGGTGGATGGCAGCATGAGGTCCATCACCACCAAACTCTACGACGGTTTCCAGTACCTCACCAATGGCATCATGTGATACCCTTCTCAGGCCCAGAAGTGGTGGGATCGAAGGCACCCTTCCTAGGAGGACCCTTGCCTAAGAAACCCCAAATCAAAACCCTACCTATCTAACCACCTACTCAAGGGAAGGCAAGAAACACAAAGGATCATGTGGTAACCATGAGAGCTTGCCAAAGGGTAGAGAGCCAACCACGGGGTCCAGACTTGCTGGGGCTCCCCCGCCTCCTGCTGGTGTCAGTATTATCACCTGACAGATTCCAGAGAACAGAGGTGATGAAGATGAAAAGGATGGGGGCCTTCTTCCCCTCTCCGGATTCTCAGAGGTTCTTTCTACAAACTGTCTTTTGTTTTCCCTGGGTCCCAGCAAGATGGGAGAAGGAGTGGGTTCTTGGTACCTAGGATGTAATCCTATGTTTGACCATGCTGCTGCCCAACTCTGTCCCCTCCCAGGGGCTGACCCCTAGCCCACATTCCCCCTGGCAGGTGGGTTCTAACCGTAGGGTCCTGCACTTGCTGAGGTTCCCCATCATGGGATTAAGGAAGGGAATTGTCATAATCCCTCTAATGTACTGAGGGTATTGGCCTAGCCATGGGGAATTTCTTACCCTGATCCTTTCCTCACACCCAGGGAAATAGCTCTCAATTTTTTTTTATTTTTAATTTTTGTTTGAAATAAAGTCCTTAGTTAGCCATCTGTGTCTTGTCTGAGTTACCTCTGGGGATGGGGGTTGGTGGAAGGGGCTAAATCCAGCATACGAAAGGCACCAAACACACAAGATGAAGATTACTTTTTCCATCTGTCTTGGTCAATACCACCTCTCCCCTGAAAAGGGCTGCCCCAGTTCAGACTCACCCCTCCTATCAGTACACATTGTCCAAATCACATAAAAAGAAAAGCCTGAATGGGGATTAAACCACAAGCAGTTTTAATAGTCTGGTTCTCTCCCTCTTATTTCTCCCAGTTAGTATTATTACTACAAGAATAAAGGATTCCTGAGAGCCTGTCCTCTCCTCTCCCTGGACCCCATTTGACAGGACTCATCCCCACCAACCCCCCACCCCTAGATTTCTGGGGGAAAAGACAAATGGAAGGCACTGCAGGGATTGGGGCGGGGTGTTAGTGCCAATGAGTGTTAAAGGAGGGGATACTAGGGCAGAACCCAGCACAGAGGAAGAAATCTAGCGGAGGGGTAGAAGCTAGACCCTGTACATCCTTCAGTTTCCCCTGTGCCTGTCTAGCAGGCTTCCCAAGGTCCTGTCCTCCCACCCAGTTATACACTGGGGGTCTGCAAAAGAATATTAGTGTTGGCTTCAGAAAGAAAGAAAGGGGAAGTCCACTTAAGTAGAACCCAGGGACCAAACCCAAGAGCGGGGTGGGGGGGTGCAAGTTAATAGAACCCTCAAAAAGCCTTTCCCTCAGGGGCGAAAAGAATCAAACAAAATACATGTTAAACTTCCCAGCCCAGGGAGGAGACAGCAGCAGTGAAACCAAAGTTCCAGGGAAGAGGAAAGGCCAATCCTAGGCCTGGGACCTAGTTGTCCCCACTGCCTCCCTGACGGGCCCTGATAAATGCCATGCCATGAGTGCGGAAATGGGTCTTGAGATTCAGAGGGCTATCACAGCTCTTGCCACAGACCTTACAAGTCAGAGGGCCTCCAGAAGCAGGCAAAGGTGAATCTCCACCCTCTGGGTCAGAGCGTAATGGCGGAGCCTCTTCTTCCCCATCCCCTATCCCCAGGGCACTGGCTTTACCCCCAGCCCGTCTCTTCTTGTGGCTAATGAATCGGTGGCGGCTCAAGGAGCCTGGGGAAGCAAAGCACAAGCCACAGTCAAGGCACTGCTGCGTGCCACCATCTACCCGCAGCCCCACCACGACGCTCTGTTCCGCTGAGCCACTGCTCCTATAGCGCAGAGGCCCATGGCCTCCTGACCCAGGGCCACCCCGCAGGGACTTGGCTGGTGGCGTTGTACTGTCAGGTTCCTCACTGCATGAGTCAGAAGACTGGCGGCGTTTCCGTCCTGGGCCCTGGAGAAAAGTGGAAGAAACTGGGCCTCACCATCACCCTGGCTTCCTGAGACCAGGGCCTCACCAGTTTCTCACTCCCACGACATACCGTAAGGAGGACCTCGTCTTACCTGAGCTCTGCCACCAGAGCCTCGCACCAGGGTGCCTCCTCTGTTAGGAGGAGACTGGGTCCCAAGGGGCAAGCCATGTCGGACTTGGACATGCTTCTCCAGGATCAGACGACTACTGAAGGTACGCTTTCCCTCCGTGCAGTACCTAGCAGAGGGAAAGTGGGCAGCTTAGCATCAGAGGCAAAGACTCAGAGCTCCTGAGAGAAGGCTGCAGAGCAGACGGAGGCCTCGACCTTTGGCTCCCTCAAGCAGGAGGCAGGTGAACAGGTACTCTGGGAGTAAGGGTCACCTACCAGGTAGGAAAAGGGAATGATGAGTAAGGGTTACCTGCATGGGTAAACTCTCTTGATTCCCTCATGGTTGACCCTGACATGGCGCCTCAGGCTGGGGGCAGAGCAGAAGGAGCGCTCACACAGGCGACAGGGGAACTTTTTCACTGACTAAAGAGCAAGGGGTGGGAAATTTCAGTCACACGGGTCAACCCCAAGGTTACCCTCCAGCCTACCTTTCCCAGAGGAAACCCGGCTCACCTTGCCATGTTCCTTCTTCATGTGAGTCACATACTCATCACGCTCGGGAAACCAGGAATGACAAAGGCCACAAGTCCAGCCCCCAGGCCCACCACCCCCACCTTTGATGCCTTTGCTTCCCAGGTCCCGTCGGGGTCGTTTGGTTGGGCGAGGAGGCTCAGGGGAGCTGGGCAGTTCCTCTTCAGAAGATGAGGATTCCTCAGTAGCAGGGGCTGCCTCTGCCCGAGACACAGCCAGCTCCTCCGGCTCAGTCTTGGGGGTCAGAAGGGCATCTCCAGCCCCTTTCCCAACTGCCTCCTCCCCCAAGCATCCAGACTGGTGAGTATTCTGTAAGAGGAAGACAAGAGGAGTGGCTATGTGAAGGAGAGCCTGGCTTTGCCAAAGTCCTCGCTTCTCCCTACTCCCCGCTTCCAGAGGGTGATGTGGCTCTAGTTCAGGTCAACACAGCTAGCTACAGAGCCGGTCCCTAGCCCTTTGCTCCTCCTGTACCTTGAGATGTTCCAGCATGGTCCTTTTTTGGGCAAAAAGCAGAGGACAAGATGGACACTTAAAGACACTGACACGCTGGGGCAACAAGTGCTGGTCAAAGTGGGAGGAGAGAAGTGGTTTGTGAGTGAAGACTGTGTCACACATGGCACACTTATAGATCAGCCTGTGGAAGCAGAAAGGGCAGTGTAAGACATGATGGGGCAGCAGAGCCCTGCCCTGCGCCCCACCCTCCAGCCCACCCCTCCTTTTCAAGCTCCTTCCCCAGGTCTCACT